AAAAAAAAAAAAAAACTAAGAAAATGATAATATACAGTATAGTCTTCTTACAAAAATTTTTAAGTTCATTTTTTTAGTAAAAGGGTACACTAAAGCTAGATCTGCCTTTCTCACCTCAGGCCCACAGAAGGAGCTATTTTAAAGAGATATTGAAGGCTTCCCATCATGCTCCTCTCCTCCTCCAAGGTATTCTTGACCTGGAGGTGCTCTCCAGGGCCAGCAGGCACCTCGTGTTGGCAGAATAATTTTTATTGCCTGAACTGAACTGATCCAATTCTAAAAGTACCATTTTAAAAAGCTGCTGAGTGAGCTGTGACTTGTCTGACAAAGTCCACGCCCTCATGTGTGTGTGTGTGTGTGTGTGTGTGTGTGTGTATTTACTAGAAGGGACATCTGGGGCCACAGTGTCTCAGATGATAAAAATGGAATGAGCAGCATGTCCACATCTCAACTCTGCTCCCTCTTTTTCCCCTTCTTATTTTATGAGACTGTTTAGGCAGCATAACCAATGGTTAGAAAATATTATATTTAGAAATGTTGCCAGGTAATTTAATCTGCCATCATTTTCTTCAACGCCTAAATAGTCAGAAAAGTTAAGAAAGCTTAATTACCTGTTCTTCTGAGCTAACTTTACTTTCTTCTGATGACTCACTGTTCTCCTGAAAGAGAAAAAAATGTTTATTTGCCTCTTAGTAATTCCTCAGGAAAGAAAAGAATATGATACACATCGATTGCTTGAGTCTGTATGCATTACTTCCACAATAGGAAACAGTGCTGAGAAGAGTATCAAAGTCAATTTATGGCAAAAATAAATGTGAAATTACCACAGGTGGTGCTGGCGATGGAGCCAAGTGACCCTGTAAAAAAAGAAAGAAAAACATGAATTTTTCATAGACAGATTATGTCACTTCAAATATGTAGAAAGACCTTAAGTAGCTTTTAAATCTTTTTGCTATATATTTTATCTTTCCCTGAGCTATAATGAAGTCTTATGGTAAAATGACTAAACATGGAAAGTATGGTGACTACTAGCCTGAAAAGGTCTTGGAATATAAAAGATATGACACTTACAAAAATATTTGTATACTTTCATTGAAATTAGCTATTCATACAACCTAGAGGAAATATAACAGGATAACAAAATCAGAGCTTGGAGTCCAGATTCAAGTCTCAGTTAACTAGTTTGTTTTGGCTTCAGTCCTCAAAACCAACATGGCGGTGTAAGCACTGGAAATCCGATGGTCCAAGAAAACCCTAGGACCCAGGGGAGCTGGAAGTGTTGCTTTCTCCATGTGAAGGTGGGTGATTCGCTTCACATGTCAGTTTCTTATTCATCAATTTAGAAAAATAAACACCCACTATGCTCAACCTGCAAGACTGCTGTGTGAAAGGAACCAGCGAAGGGCTATAGAGATGTCTTGAGAACTAGTCAATGAAATATGAACTAAATAGATAATCCATTTCAAAATATCCACTTTATAAAATTCAACAGCCAAAACTGAACTGAGAAACCCATGAAACCTTTCTCGAGTCACCAAAAGGCACCGATATTAAAAACAAATGCTAAATCTGAAATTTAACTACATAGTTAGTGTTCTGATTTATTCACTTCCCTTAGTCTCATAAGAACTGTGTGAATGCCTGAGCAAATTGTGCCTTCTCCCCCCAGCCCTCCACATTCTCTCCCCTCCCCCCCGGAGCAGAGCAAGGTCCTGGGCATAACCTAGCCACAGAGCAGGGCAGAGAATCTGCCCCCTCCTGCCTTCCACATGCCACTCAGAAGCAGGCTTGTGGGCTCAGACAAGGGACCTGTACTCACTTGTCTCCGCCTGTGTGCTACAGGGGGCAAAATGGCAAACTATGTTCCAGCATCTATCATTTGGAATTAACGGGTGAGATGGAGTGAAATATTGGTATTTTTGTCATTCCAAAGCTTGACTGGAGAACAAGGAATGTTTGTGAGTCTCTGGTTAAATGAGAGGATCTAAAGTGGCTGCTTTTAAATTAACCAGCCTAGGAATTGCTCTGATGAAACCTCATGACATATTCTGCAATGTCTTTCTAGCTCGAGGCAGGGGCAGGACCCCACCAGAGACCTCTGACATTATTTGGTCACTATGAAAGGCTCTGGGCTCAAGCTGTATCATATGTGCCAGAAAACAACACAATGGACAAAATATTGCAAGCTTGGCTCGAGTTTTTTAACCCTCATTTCAAATGCCAATCTTGAGAATCTGCAAATTTCTGAGAGTAGGCCCACATGCTGAGAGGGAAGGGTCAACTCAGCAAGAATGTACGCTCTGCACCCACGAGGACATAAATTCAAAGTCTGGCTCTAACACTTGTTGACCATGTAATCTAGATAAGCTAGGTTCCTCTCTATGCCTCAGTTTCTCATCTGAAAAATGGGAATAAAATATAACATCTAATTCATTAATCTGTTGTGAAGATGAGAGGTTTAATACACATAAAACACTCAGGCTGTGCTTTGTGGGTTCTTGTGAGTTAACAGCTATTGGGTTATCGAGGGTCCAACACTCAACAAACATTACAATCATTCCCCAAACTCCAATATCCTCTCATCTGTCTTTCTTTACTCACCTGCCAGGATTTGACTTCCTGCCTATGGGATATTTCCTATTTAAACAGAATTTAAGTCCAAATCTCTCATGGACAGTCTTGGTCCATTGCTATCCACCCCTTGCACTATTGTAGACACACACTACACTAAGAAAGCTAAAAGAAAAAAATCCTTCCTCACCAAATTATACTCAGTTGGAATTGCAATATTTTCTTATATAAACTAAAAAGTATGGATTAGGTTGTGAATATACTCATAACTTTATCACTGTCAGTGTTTGTAAACCACTCAATTACGTTACACTCATCATATAGTAAAAGGTCGTATTTCTACTCACCTTCCATTCATCAGAGCTCTCAGATTCAGTATTTTGATACCTGGCTACCTAGAAAATTTAGTATACATGGTCAATGCCTGATGAAGCCAGCAGTTACTTACATACAATGAGCAGCATGAGCCTCCACCAGGATCACCAGAGGGCTTGCTAAATCCCAGAGTGTTGTGAGTCTGCGTTAGGGTCTGAGGTGGGACTCAAGGATTTATGGCACTAACAGAGTCCTGATTGATGCTAACTCTGTGAGCCTGGGTGACACTCAGAGAATCACTGCTTATGAGAATCGCAGCAATACAAATGGCAACTGAACAGATAAGAGTAATTTGGACGTTTTAAAGAAAACAGTCTCCTGAGAAGAACTACAGTAATATTTCAGTTCATGAATGCTTGTGTTTGCAAACAATTCGGTTCACAGACAAAAGTGTTCGGCAAAATTTTACTTCCTTTTGCAAACTCCACATCAGGTGACAAACATGACCACAGCTGTCTTCCTCACACAAACACAAATGTAGCCATCTTCCCCCAAATTTTGTGTTTTACATAAATTAAATGTATGAACTGAGGTACCACTGTATTTTCATATGGCTGGAATATGTACAGCCACCTGGGCTCTCAGCCAATGAAAATTGTGTAGTTTTAATTCCAAAAGGTTTATCCTATATGTATAATCCCTACCCTGATACTTACTGGGAGAGCGCAGGATAGCCCCCAAAGAAGCATGAGCAAGATGCTGGTCTTCATAATTGGGTGTGATGCCTCTACCTGCAATAAAGGACATAGATATGTTACCCCATACTAAAGAAATCAAAGAGTATTTATTTTTAAGCTTCTTCCTATTAAAATTATTCAAATGCCCAACTGATGAATGCATGGAGAAAATGTACTTCATCTGTACAATGGAATGTTATTCAGCCATAAAAAGGAACGAGGCATTGACAGGGACTACAAAGTAGAGAAGCTTTGGAAACATTATGGTAAATGAAAGAAACCAAGCACAAAAGACTATATTCATATGATTCCAGTTATATAGCATGTCTAGAATGGACAAATGCACAGAGATGGAAAGTAGACTAGTGGTCATGCAGGGCTTAGAAAGATGAGGGCTGAGGAATGATGAGGAGGAGGTACAATATTCCTTTTGCAGGGGATGTAAATATTCTAAACATAATTGTGGGGAAAATTGTTCTTTTTGTGATTATACTAAAAGCTATTAGACTGTATACTTCAAAGATGTGAAGTGTGCAATACTTAAGTTATATCTCAATAAAGCTATTTTCAAATAAATGAAAATCTCACTGCTATGACAAAAACTGAAAACTTCCAATGAGATTGTCTATGAACATTTCTTCACTAACACATAAAATATGATAAATGGGGGAAAAGTAAAGGGAATAGGGGAACTTCTAGACATTCATTTTGATGATAGCTCTACAGCTTGGCATAGAAGTGAAACCTAGCCAGTCTAGTCCCCCCTAAAACATTACATTTATTTATTGATAGGGGTTAGGTACCCATATACACACACACACATACCAGCTTCTAAGTCACATTCATAACTGCATAATAATGTCAAGACAAAATAGATTGTTTTTGCAAATTTTTCTTCATGTGATGGCTCCAGAAAGCTCTTAATATCTACTGTGATTCACGTAGTCATACATTATACATGGTTTTGGTAAATTCTCCTAAGTGTCATTCACAGCCCAGAAGGATCAAGGGAAAATTAGAGGTTTCAGATATACTTATGAATCATGCTGAGAGAAACACTCGAAATCAAACTGTATTTTTCTGGAAGGTGGCTTCATTTCACACTTCCAGAACTGATGATTTCAACACAATTTGTTCTATATCTAAATGTAGACCTACTGATGCTATTGTAAAAGTTATCAAAGTGATTTAAAGTACAGCCATCTACTCTACACTAGTGAACCCTTATAGCTGCTCTAGTGTAGTTGTCTGATGTACTTCCATATATTTTGCAAAATGTCCTGCTAGTTTATTTCAAGCTTTGTTTCAAGCTTCACATTTGCTGATTTGTTTCTTTAAATATTAGATATATGCTACTAGAGACAAGAGATTTAAGCCAAAGTTTCTCTACCCTGGCTGTATATTAGTATTAGTAACACCTAAAAATTTTTAAAATACCAATGCACAAATCTCATCTGAGAATAATAAATCAATTCACTGAAGATAGGAGTACATGTGATTTTAAAGTGCTTCACGTGATTTTTAACCCTTGCTCTAAGAAGAAAATGTTGCTGAATATCTGAAAATGGTGAATAATGTGTGAAACATTGAGCACAGGAAGTCATCTAATCTAATCTCATTTTTCTCATTTATTCAAGAAAATAAAAATCCTAAGAAAAATAAGTGAAAAAGTTTTCTCATTTCTACTTTCTTACAGCTCAAATGGCCAAACATAGCTTCTTATATTATGGGCATTATCCCTCTTCAATGCAGCTATATTTCAATTTGTTACTTTCTTTATTCCAATTCAATATACTGCATAACAGCCTTTATATTTTAATTTCTTTTTTAATCATTTTCCTAATACCAACTGAAAAGAGCATACAAAAGTGCTGAACTGCAAATTCAAAAGATATTACTCCCTTTTAGTTCTCATAGCACATTTTTAAGTTCTTAGGTTCATTTTTAAAGAAAGTAAAATTTTTTCAAATATGATATTCTCAAAATAACTCCCTGTGAATGATTTCAGCACACAGGTCAAATGGAAGTTAGGCAACTCGCCATTTTAATTGTCCAAGTGAAATTTCAATGTGGTTATGATCTCATGATGTTTTAAGTACTAGCAAACATTCATCCTTGATGAAACATAAATGATGATTGAATTCTTTTGTACTTTCTTCAGCTTCTGTGTTATCTAACAATTTAAAACTAAGGGCATCCATTGTGAATTATTCTACTTCAAAGGATGTTGTGTTTTTTTACTAAGGAACTGTATGCTTCCAGTTCTCAAGTTCCTCAGGCATGGAATATTGTGACCTAAGGAAGATGCACCAGCTTGCTCAGGCTTCTAACAATACCATTTAACACCCTGATCTAAAGCAATAATTTCCCAAGTAGAAGTCTGGTAAACGAAAACAAAACACACCCTAGCACCTGAAGAGAACCAGTGTTATTTCCCAAAGAATATAGTCTGCTCTTAAGCAGTAAAGAAAACCAAATATTAACCCTATGTTAGATTTCCAAATAATATTTTTATAAAAATAAAGATACTCTTGTGAAATGTATTTCCAAATGAGAGCACTGATTTTTTTATAAACCATTTAGCTCCTTAGAGAGAGTAGAAACAGACATGTGGCAGTCTTATTCTGAATAATAAATTAACAAATTATCTGTGAGCCTCAAAAGTTAGGAGTCCAGAAGCCCCAGCTCTTCTTCATTGACTGGTCAATGTCACTTCTACATGTTGTCATTCAACAATGACAGCAGGTGTGAACAGAAATCAACAACCTTGACTTCAGTCCCATCTGCCTGAAAGTCAGAGTATTAAAGACTTTATCCTTTCTCTGTTGCTTCCCCAGAATAGAAAAGATCCAAATGGATCTGAAGAAAGGAATTGTGGTCCAAGTTTAAGTATAGACAAAACTTCTTCAGGTTCCCAAATGAGGAAACTTTTTCTGGAAATTCCTCAAAGTTAAATTTTACTTATAAAGTATCAAGATCTTCTCTTATATAAACTGAACTGAAAGAAATAGACCAAATAAAGGAAATCAAGAAGTTTGAAAAATCATAGGCTCCTTCTTTCTCCTTTGGAAAATACCTTATATTGTAATTTTCTTATTTTTGTTTTAGTATTTTTATCCTTCACAAATAATAATGAATAATATATTCATTTACTAACAGTTAACAAATACTTTCTCAGAACAGTGAATATGCCAAATCCTGTTCTAGGTGCTATTCTAGCTGAATAGAAATTAATAGTAATGGCAATAATAATAATAAATAGCTAATAAAAATAATAATAAGCTGGTCTCACAAAAGCAGATTTATCAACAACTCAACTAACTAAAATCTTCTAGAATTTGTTTCATTATTATTCTTAGAAAATAAAGTGGTCTTTGGCCAGGATGTGAAAGCTATCAGGAATTTAGAGACCCAAAGTAATAAGAGTTTCCAACCTTTCCTATTATAATTGTCTTGAGGTTCCCTATGATCAATCCAATGTTCTATGCCTCAACCACAGTGAAATAACTCCTAGGTGATCCATATATAGCTTGGGAAGAGCTTGAAGCATCTAAAGCACATTGATCCACATCAACATTTAGTGATCAATGAGCAGACTACTGCCTTGTAGAAAATTGTTCATCCATAGGCCTTTAATCAACAATGATAAAGTAGGATGGTCTATATGAGCCTTGATTAAACAGAAAGTTTGGTTAATCAGGAGGTACTGCTCCTGTAGAGGAAAGCTTGCTTGAAGTATTGCTGCTGCACATGGGATCTTGTAGATGTCACACAAATTCTGGGCTGACCATAACTCCCACTCTGTTATAGAAGACAGACACTGCTGATACAAATGAAGAAGTGGAAGAAACAGAAGGTAAAAATAGAAATGGATGGGGTTATATACATACCTACACCTTCTACACTAAAAAAATTTTAAGAGATGACCACCCTCAGAATTTATTGAATTCCAACTAGCAAAGTATCATGCTATCATAAACACCCAACCAACCAATACAAACACATTGTAATTACCACACCCTTGGTTCATTTCCATGATCCTAGCATCTTCTCTCAATCATTTGTTCAGTTTGTAATGAATACTACTCAATGCTCTCTAGATGAATATCATTAAATAGTTTTCAATTTAAAAGACTCTATTTTGAAAATCCTGCCAATCTAGTTTAGAGTCTTTCACAATATCTTCATATTTAGGAACATGAATGTAGAAGTTTTATTTGCTTTCCTAGTTAAAGCTAAACTTCAAACTGATCTTCCATCAGCCCACTGTTCAGTAAACTCTCTTTCTGCAAAGACCTAATTAAAGCATTACCAAGAAAAACATTTGGCTCTACTGATATAATGTGTCAAACACATTTAATATTTTCAAGTAGCATGGTAAAAGTCATTGAAAATTAAATGATGAAAATGTCTTACCCTCTTAAGTTCCCAAAGACTTGTCTCCAAAAGATCAGGTTGAAGTTCTCACAGAGGAATCTCAGTGAAGCCACTCTTGTGTTCCTAGTCTGAATGCTTCTCTGATGGTACAGGAATTTAAACTCTGCCAGAGCTCTTCAGAGCCAATCAGCCTCGGGCTGGGGGTGACTGACATCACAGGTGTCCCTGGGACCCCGTACACCCACACTTCCTCCAGCTGGCAGAGCCAGGTTTTCCCTAAAAAGCTCTTGTGGTTCCCAAATGACTAGACTAGTTTCCATTAAATTGAAGATCTTCTGAAGGCTTTATTTTGATTTCTAAATATATGTCATTCACATCCATGCAGGATTATGAACATTATAAACAATGACAATATCTTCCACCCACGAACAGATCCCATCAGCCCCAAAGATGGGAAAAAGAGAGTCAGAGATGGGCAGAAAGTTTCCTGTTAGTGTACATTTCCAGGTAGTACATGAGAAAAGCTTCTAAAATACTAGATTTTCTTAAATTGTTAGTGTTCAGAATATGTTTTTATTTCTTCTTTTGTCTTCTTTTAACAATCTCTATTATTGTATCCCCCTTCTACCCTTTTGCTGTCCCCTTTACACATGCAAAGACCCCACATTCTTACTAATTTAATACCCACTCACATAATTCAATGATGATTGAAAATATTAAAATTCTTCACTTGATTAACTTTTGTTTTTTGCAAGAAAAAAATCTAACACTTTATCCTCACCCCCAGCTGCTGATCACAGTTTTGTGACTCTTTGAAATAAGAACTGGATTAAGGAGAAAATGAGGTGAAGCCAATTTTCAGGAGACAGTATGCCATCACCAAAAATGTAATTACATGAATAAAATGATATTTACCAGAAGTCCTCAGGAAGTGTACTGAAGGCTGTTATACAGATCTGGAAGTGGGTTGGCACCTCCCCAAGAGTGTGCTCAAGTAACAATAAGATGACCACTGAACAAACATTTAAAGAATATAAGCCACTGCCCTTTAATTTCCTCAAGAGTAGGGAGGTTTGCTTTGTTGGCTGGTATCTACCCAGAGCCCTAGTAGCTAGGACAGTTCTTGGGTCATAAGAAGCACTCAATAAATATTTTCTGAATGACTGACTGGATTGGTTTGAAAATGAACCAAGTTATTAGCTTATGTGTGGTACGCACGTGACTCACTCTCACTTTTTAAAAATGTTCTGTGTTCGGAATTTTAGTTGATACTCCTAACAACCTAGATCTAGAAAATTAAGGTGTCAAATTTATCCAGGAAATGAATGTCAAATATGTGGGTTGTTAGCTTACTCAGTGTGAACAGTAGACTCAAGTGGGAGAAGGAGGCAGAAAATGAGGAGGGAGGAGTCTATTTTCATATAGGGTTGATTAGAAGGCCAAAGTTCATATGGGGAAGCTTTACATTTCCTGTGCTCTGTTCTGGTTCTGAATTACATTCCCTCGTGGCTTCATGGGCCTTGACTGAGGTCTTTCTTAGATGAACCTTATAATCTTATGTCAAGCTGGATTCTGGGAAGATTTGGGTAAAAGGCATTACAGGACATTGTTTCAGACCTCTACAAATCTCCACAGAAAAACACAGGAGCATGTATATAACAACATTAGAAACTATGGTCAACATTTATAACAAAACTAGAAGTTTTATTTACCTATTTCTATATTAAACCAAAGAGGTTACTTGTATCATAAAACAATAAGTATGTTCTCATCTCAAATGGAAGAATATAAAGTCACCTGGGACTATAATGGGGCAGAATATTCAAGATAGTTCCCTCACGGGGTTGTCTGGAAGCTCAGCAGGAGCTGTTACTCTGAGCACTTCATTTATTTACATCGCCTTCTTACAAAACACTTTGCCTTCTTACAAAATGGTGATTGGACCCAAGGACTCCCCAGAATGCCACTCACTCCACATTCTATTGGTCAAGTCAATCAGTGGGCCACTTCCTATTCAGAAGAAGAAATAGTCTTCACTTCTTGATGTGTGAGTTGGCATGTATTTTACAGAGCAGAGGAAATGTTGAAGTCATTTTTGGAGATTATTTAGTTGTCACTCTATATGTCAAGTTATACTCTCAAACCCCAAACAAGGTTGCTGGAGACAAACCATCAACTGCCACAAGATCTCCAGTGTCAATACAGGAAAAAGTAGAGTGAAGGAATAGATAGCTGATGGATATGAAAACAAGAGAACCCTAAAGTGGCCAATAATAGTTGCTGTCTGTGTCAAAGGCACATTAACAATGTCTGAAGGAACTGGAGCAGTTGGGCCTCTAAGCAGTCACAAAACTAAGCCACCACATGCCTGCCTTCCAGGACAGGCTCATATAGAAGAGAAATTTCTAAGAATGGAATAAAAAGTGCACTGGATATGGATAGTAGATTAGGTAAAAGAAAGCAAAGGAGAAGAGAATGTATGCAGGAAACCTCAAAAGAGAACTGCTATATTTTTTAATTCAACATGAAAAAAACAACCAAAGAGAAAGCTGGATGATATCAGGAAGCTATCCTGAACCATGATCTTCCAAAATTATAAGAAAACCAATTTCATATAAAATAAATGCAAAAAAAAATGTGAAAGATCTCATAGAACCAGAATAATGACCTGATAGACAATAAAAGTATGCTGAAAATATATAATTAAAGAATAAAAATTATAACCACAGCCAGAAATGAAGTATAAGAGATCAGGAAAAAATCAAATAAAAGAAAAATATAATTGTAGAAATAAAGATTAATCTTGCACAAGAGGAAATAAATATAATAAGTAATTCTTTAAGAGAATTAGAAGTCAAAAAAAGAATTTTTTTCTATTTTTTGTTTGATGTTTTTGTAGAACTAGAGATTTGTACTAAACTACCTCCAAAACCACATTTATTTTAATTTTTCATTATGAGACAGAGTCTTGCTAAGCCCCTAAATTGTGCAGACTGGGCTCAAAGTTGTGATCCTCCTGCCTCAGCCTCTCAGAGTAATAGGATTGTAGGCATGTGCTACCAGCTAATAGGAAAATGTTTTAAATTTTAAAAACAATGCAGAAAAAAAAATATTCAGGAGACACTGACACTTATTGACGATGAGCCAATGAGACCCAATTTACAAATAACAGAATCTGGAAGGAGATAACAAAAGTAAAGGAACAGTAGAAATACTAAAAACAAACAACCCAAATTTTCTCTGAATTTAAAAAAAATTAAAACTCATATTTAAACAGCTTGGCATGTTCCTGAAAATATGTACCCACAATGACCAACACTAAAATACCCTCATGAAATTGCTGAACTTTAAAGATAAAGAAAAAAGTCATTTGGTCTTCTGTGCAAAAACAGCAAGTGATTCATAACAGAAATAAAATTAGATTTGCATATTTTGTTGACAGCAATGCTTTATTGCAGAGAAAATGGTGTAACACATTTAAGACATTCAAGATAAGGAAATGTGATCCAAGAATTTCATAATAGTATAACTGACTTTCCAGTATAAAGGGCTCAAGCAAACACTTATCAACCTGATAAAATTCAAGGATATTTTCTGGGAAGTCTAGAATGAGCTTAACACAACCAAAATAACTAGAGACACTGTCACAAGAATAGGTCATATGCATTAAACATGATTGTAGAAGCAAAATTAAATGAAGCCTAAAGGGAAAGAGTATACAATGGCTGCATACTTAGCAGATTTACCTTAATTGTTTAAAAGATGGGGAAATGGAAGGCAGGTAGACAAAAAAATTTCAGCTGTTCTTTATAATTATACTCGTGATATTATTGCTATTCTGAGAATGGTGTGTGTGCGATGTGGGATAAAGGATGTGAGTAATTTTAAATTATTCAATTTCTTTTGACCCATATGCCCAGGCATTGCACATCAGTGGCTACTTACCTTGTAGGGAGCTAGACCAGCAGACAGGTCCCTCCTGGTGAAAGAACATAGCATCAGTTGTAGTCCATTAAAAGGATCCCATTCAACTGAATCAAACTTCAGGATTCTGCTGAGCTGTATGAAGTACGGTAATACCTATGAATGCTTCTGTTTGTAAATAATTCGGTTCTAAAACAAAAGCATTCATCAAAATTTTACTTCCATTTGCAAATTCAGCATTGAGTGACAAACATGACAATGGGCAGTAGACACCCCTGTAATCAGGTTCCAGCACCCACCTGCCCAGTGTATGATGCAGGCCTGAGAAAAAGAATACACTAGAAGACAGAACTAAGAGAGAGAAACTGGGGTGAAAGAACAACCAATGTCGGGGCAACTGACAAAGGTGCTGGACAGTCCCAGGCACTGACTTTTATTGGCATTCAATTGAGGTAAAGGCAATGTGTGGTTTCTATGGAAATTAATGTAAACAAGGCTCACAAAGGACAAGACAAAGCCTTCTCAAATTAGGAACAGAATAGACAAAATATATGATTGTAATTAGAACATTGTCCTTCTAGTCTGAAGGTTTATTTGTGGGAATGGAATTTGGGTGTAAGTTACTCTGACCTCACCACATAGGCTTCAGCCAGGCTCACTTCTCAAAACAAAGGAAGAGTGGGGTTAACTCTTTACACCCTGCATTGGGCATAATCAATATTATGGTCCTCTGCATCTCCTCCTTCTCTGTTTGAAAATGGCAGCTGCATAAGGTCTGGTGACCTTTGTAGGTCCCAGGGCTTTCCCAGGCAAGGGAGTTGCTCAGATGAAGCCTTTGCATGACTTTTAGCAGGAGTGTCACATCATGATGCTTGCAGTGAATCCGTCTTGTTGGCCCATGGTGGTATGTTCTGGGATGATGGCAACAGCACCTTTTTATTTTCTATTGAAAAATAAGCATACCCTGGCCCCTATGTTATTAATTCTATTGAGCCATTTACCTTTTAGTTAGTACATACTTTGACAACACTAGTCTCTAGGACATGTCTATAGATCTTTCTTTGTATCAATGGAGTTTCAATGGAGTATTTTTACCTTTCATAAGTGAATCTTAAAAATTTTAAATGATATGGCTCCCAGCCCAGAGGTGACTTCCAGATTGGCATGCCATGGCTCCTAGGCAGGATGAGGCTTCTGGGTAGGCATGCTGCAGCTCCCAGCATAGAGGAGGCTTCCAGGTAGGTGTGCTACAGCTCCCAGCCCAGAGGTGACTTCCAGATCAGGGCACCATGACTGCTAGTACAGAGGAGGCTTCTGGGTAGGTGTGCTGTGGCTCCCAGAACAGAGGAGGTGAGCCATGCAGGTGCCCGGAACAGACACCCACCACCCACCATCCCCATGTCAAAATGAGAAGACAGATAAACAAGCCTCAGAACCAGACTTCCAGATCACCTGCAGGAACCCCGAAGGAAAACAAGATGGAACACTCTGATACTCAAACACCTGGACTCGCTGAACTAGCAACAAAAGAGGATCTGGAAAAAATGAAATCAGAAATAATTTCTCACATAACAGCAAAGATTGTACCCATAGGACAAGACATGATTAATAAATCTAGAGAGAATACAGATGAAAAAAATAGAGGAGCTGAGGAACATGATGGAATGCCAATATAGAAAACAAATTGAATCCATGAAACAGATGCAAACAGATTTCCAGGAGATTAAAAAATCCATTGAAAGTCTATGCAACAGAAGGAGTCAATGTGAAGACAGAATTTCAGATATAGAAGATAAGATTGCAATTAGTGACCAGGATAAGAAAAAATTCTTTAAAATTGTAAGGGTCCATGAGAAATCAATCCAGCAGCTGCTAGACAATGCAAAGAAAAATAACATAAGACTGATTGGAGTCAATGAAGAAACAGAAGAGAGTGCAGATGACATAAAAAAAACTGTTTACAGAAGTGATGGCAGAAAACTTCCCAAGGGGGGGGGAAAGAATTAGACATACAGAAAAGCAAGGCATACAGGACTCCAAATAGCCTTGATCAAAAAAAATCTACACATAGGCATATAATAGTTGAGATTCCAGAAACCTAACAGAAGAACAAAATT